TTGATGTATTCTAGTCAGCTGTTTTATTTGGACTAATTTCAGGTAATGGCTGTAACTGCACAAATTCAAGCTCTGACGAAAAAAGTTCAAGCTAGAGCCTATCCAACAGAGAAGGTAAGACATACTTGAAGAGTAAGCATCCCCTGAGTTGATGTTCTCAACAGTTCTTTCACGATAGGTTTATTGACTGTCTTGTATACTAAGTGCTGGAGCTTTAAAGACGAATAAAGCCCAGTTTCTGTGCTGAAGTCTAGCGAGTGAGACAGATCAAAGTAATAGGTATAAGCGGTAGCAGCCATGTTGCAGAGTCATGACGAGTGCTGTGCAAGCTGAGGAGAAAGATTAAATAATTGCCAGAGGAGCAGAGGAAGTCAGAAAAGGCTTATCAGAGAAGGTAACAGGATTGTGAGGAATAAATAGGAGTCAGAAGTACAGAAAGAAGCAGATGTGTAAAGGCACGAAGTCCTGAAAGCATGGTGATATTCTGGGAAAGGAGCTAAGTCCCTTAGTGTGTGTGTGTGTGTTAGGGGTAGGAAAAAAGACTGGAAAAGTAGTGATTGTGAGAAGTCTTGTCAACTGAGGCGTTAACTATTGTGTTTCTTCTAATCCAAGATGCTGTTAATGGAGAACATCATTCATTTTATATATATTAAGAAAAAATGCTACCTGTTAATCTGTGACATGTACTAAAATACTGTTGATTAAAAGATGCATCTTGACTTCAGAGATGTCAAAATATGAAAACAGTGTGCATCTTAAAATTGAAAGATGGTGGTTTATAAATTAACATCTTATAGAACCTTCTCAGGAATTATTGAGTATGGCCAGTATAAACAGAGGGTTCTGGATTCCTCTACTTAATTGAACTGGAAAATCTGGTGTGATCTGTTTTATATATTGAACTTTTTTGCTGAGATATTATTTAAGCAAAACATACCATAGGTTAACAAAAGTATGAAAATCATTGCAGTAGGATAATAAGCATTGATGGATTTTTAATCACAGGATTTATTCTTTGGAAAGCAGTTTTGTTCTTTAGAAAGATAGCTAACAGCATTTTAAAAAATAATTTTTTGTAATTGATTTCAGAGAGAAAGGGAGAGGGAGAAAGAGAAACATCAATGATGAGAATCATTGATTTGCTGCCTCCTGCACGCCCCCTACTGGGGACTGAGCCCACAACCTGGGCATGTTCCCTGAGCAGGAATCAAACCATGACCTCCTGGTTCACCGCTGAAGGCTCAACCACTGAGACACACCAGCTGGGCATAAGAGCATTTTTAATATATTCTTTGTCTTTTCTTTCTCATCAAATTTTGTTCTTGTCTATTTTTATACTTTCTGCTTATTTTTTATCTTTTTGCTTTTTTTCCCTTTGTGTTTCTCGTGCTTGTAACTCATTTTGCACTTGGCAGTGCCTATGCATGTCAGAAGAGCCTACTTCTCAAACTCTTGGCTGTCTTTATTCTGGGTACCATGCTTTGCTTCAGTTTAATGCCTTTTTGAGATGGGCTACCAGCATGTATCTTAGATCACTATATATTTGTTTATTCATTGAGCAGATATTTACTAGCTTATCACCAAAGACTTTTACTAGGTGTTTTATAGGTTACAAAGTGTTTTCATGTTATATTATTTGCACCTCATAATTGCTCTTTGACACAGGAAGGAAATAATGTTCATATTACAGATGAGGAGACTGATGTTAGAAGGTTAAGTGACTTACTCAATAATTGATTACTGAATACCTAATTCAAAAGTTAACCTCAATTTGCCTGCCTTTAAATCCTTTGCTTATCCTCCTGTACTACACTAATGCTTATCTTAAGAGCTTATCTTGTTAGACTCAGACTGAGTTTGAATCCCAGTTTTATTCCTATTACTGTGTAATCTTAGGCAGAGTATTTAACCTTTTTGATATAGGTCTTCCTAGAACGAATGACAATGAAAACACAACAATCCAAAACCTATGGGACACGGTGAAAGCAGTCCTGAGAGGGAAGTTCATAGCATTACAAGCCTCCCTCAAAAAACACCTAAGAAAAACTGGTAATAAATTATCTAACTCTACAACTTAAAGAATTAGAAAGAGAGCAACAAGAAAAGCCCAGGAAGGAGATAATAAAGATCAGAGCCCTATCTGGTTTGGCCCAGTGGATAGAGCGCCGGCCTGCGGACTGAAGGGTCCCAGGTTCGATTCCGGTCAAGGGCATGTACCTTGGTAGCGGGCACATCCCCAGTGGGGGTTGTGCAGGAGGCAGCTGATTGATGTTTCTCTCTCATCGATGTTTCTAGCTCTCTATCCCTCTCCCTTCCTCTCTGTAAAAAATCCATAAAATATATATTTTTAAAAATAACAAAAAATAAAAAATAACTATAACTTAAGTCAGTGCTCACACATTGTACTTTCTTTTACTTAAAAGAATAAACATATAATATTTGTTCAATTTTCTGCCTGTAAATATAATAAACTTTTAATTTTAGAAGGTTTGGCAGATACGTAAAAACACAAAGAAGAAAATTAAAAGTTTTATATAATCACTGTTCTAAGATAACCACTAGGGTACATTTTTTTGGAAATTTCTTGTAAACTGGTGAATATAATAGAACCAGGGGCATGGAAAGGGAGTGGACTGACAATTCTTGGGGGGAAAGGGGTGTGGGGGTGCAAGAAGAGACTGGACAAAAATCGTACACCTATGAATGAGGACAGTGGGAGGGGTAAGGGCAGAGGGTGGGGTGGGAACTGGGGGTAAAAAAGAGGAACACCTGTAATAATCTGAACAATAAAGATTTATATAAAAAAATAAAGATAATATTAAAAATATATCTAAACATGAAATTCTTTGTCCAAAAAATGAGCATATTCAAAAATTAAATGAATGCCGTGACCAGTTTGGCTCAGTGGATAGAGCGTCGGCCTGCGGACTGAAGGGTCCCAGGTTCGATTCCGGTCAAGGGCATGTACCTTGGTAGCGGGCACATCCCCAGTGGGGGTTGTGCAGGAGGCAGCTGATTGATGTTTCTCTCTCATCGATGTTTCTAGCTCTCTATCCCTCTCCCTTCCTCTCTGTAAAAAATCCATAAAATATATATTTTTAAAAATAACAAAAAATAAAAAATAACTATAACTTAAGTCAGTGCTCACACATTGTACTTTCTTTTACTTAAAAGAATAAACATATAATATTTGTTCAATTTTCTGCCTGTAAATATAATAAACTTTTAATTTTAGAAGGTTTGGCAGATACGTAAAAACACAAAGAAGAAAATTAAAAGTTTTATATAATCACTGTTCTAAGATAACCACTAGGGTACATTTTTTTGGAAATTTCTTTTATTATAAAAGTAATGCATGCTTGATGAAAAAACAGTTTCACAGTACAAGCACTCCATTTCTTCCTTTTTTCTCATTTTGGTCTCCAGGGATAGCAGTTGTTAATTATGTGTTATTTTCCAGACATATTTTTATACATATAAAATGTGTGCATCATACTCCCCCCATTTTAGTTGGAACCATATTACAAACATTTTCTACAGAGTGTAGAAAGTGTTGTGATATGAAACTAAGTATGAAAGGAATTATGTCAGTATGTATAGATCATTGTTTTTAACCTATATTGTATAATTCTATTGTATGGGGATAGAGTCAGTAATTGTTTTTGATTAAATTAGTTTAGAATTCAGCATTATGGAGGCTTTTTTTAAAAATGTGTTTTTATTTATTTCATAGAGGAAGGGGTGGGGGAAGAGAGAGATAGAAACCTTAATGAGGAGAGAGAATCATTGATTGGCTGTTTCCTGCACACCCCCCACTGGGGATTGAGCCTGAAACCTGGGTATGTGCCCTCACCAGGAATGGAACCATGACCTCATGGTTCATGAGTCAATGCTTAACCACTGAGCCACACTGGCTGGGCTGGAGGCATTTTTTATTGTCACAACTTGAGGGGATATCAGTGAGTAGAGGCCAGTGATGCTGCTGAGCATTCTCCAGCACCTAGACAGCAGTCCACAAATGATCTCCCTAAATGTTAATAGCTCTGAGGTTGAGAAATCCTGCTGTAGTTATTTTGGAGATATTTTATTGATTTTCTTGCTCTTACTGTGTTTCAAAAGTGCTCTGAGCTTTGCTTTTCTCTTGTTAGCATAATTTTCTCTGTGGCTATTTCAGGTACAGCCACCCCCCTTGAGATTACTCCAGATATCTTACATGAATTGATTGGGAAAAACTTGAACTTGGAAAAGATTATCCTGTTTGTCCTAGGCTTTCCTGATTCTCTGGCTAAAACAGAATTTGCACCTCTTATTGTTTTGTTTAACTCAGGGTCTCAGCCTCTTGGAAGTGAAAGACCAGTTGCTGCTCATGTACCTTATGGATTTGAGCCATCTCATCCTGGACAAAGCCTCAGGAGGGTCTCTTCAGGGACATGCGGCAGTTTTGAGACTGGTGGAGATTCGCACGGTATGAAGCATTTGGCATCTTAGAGTCCTAAGTTTCCAAATCCTGAACTCCAGGACTATCACACAATAGCTCTCATTTAAGTGAATGTTCTCATATTTAAGTGAGGAAACCAAATGAAAGATAGTATTTTTCTCTTCTTTGGTTCTAACTTTGTGCATATGCTAATTAAGTGCTTTATCTGGCAACTTAATATAGGGACTCTGCTATGTGCTTAACTTTCGGAAGGAAATGTGATCCTTTCTAACCATGTTACAGGTTTTGGAAAAAATTCGTCCCTTGGATCAAAAACTGAAGTATCAAATTGACAAACTGGTCAAGACCGCAGTGACAGGCAGCCTCAGTAAGTGGGAGAAGCTGTAAGGTTATGTGGATTCCATCATAAAGTCCAAAATCTTATAAAATCTCTTGGGGTTTTTTTGTTTCAGGTGAGAATGACCCACTCCGTTTTAAGCCTCATCCCAGCAATATGATGAGCAAGGTAAGGGGTTGCGTTGTCCTGATTTTCCTGAATGAGTCTTGTGGTGATCCTGGATCTCCTGGGATTCTCGTATTACTCTTGATTCCCAGCTTGTGCCTTAGAGTGTTGAGTATGAGATTCCCCCTCTGCCTTTTATTTTCCCACCTTCCCAGGGTATGCCGGCTTTGGTTTTTCTTATCATCTGTCTAACACTTCCTAAGTTTATGGACATTATATTCTTTTTATAGTTGAGCTCTGAGGATGAGGAAGATGAAGCAGAGGAAGGACAGTCTGGGGCTGCAGGGAAGAAATCTGCAAACGGAGCAGTTAAGAAATACGTTCCACCACGCTTGGTGCCAGTACATTATGGTATGAACGGTGGCTACCACCTCCTCGGTGTGAATTGTGTTTCTCTTCTTCTTTTCTCTGTTCTGGGATAACCTTTGCTAATTTTTTATCACATAGATGAAACAGAGGCTGAGCGGGAAAAGAAGCGTCTAGAACGAGCCAAGAGACGAGCATTGAGCAGCTCTGTTATTCGTGAACTTAAGGAGCAGTACTCAGATGCTCCAGAGGAAATCCGTGATGCCCGGCATCCTCATGTTACTCGCCAGAGTCAGGAGGATCAACACAGGTCTGAGTCCTTGTAATTAGACATTATTTTCTGCACTGTAGAGACCTGTCCTTGTGCTTTGGATGAATATGGTTAAGTCTAGTGCCAAACGAACCCACATTATATAGAGAATGGAGTGGAAAACTTGGGAGAACAGTTTCTAAGAATTAGGGGTTTGAAGTACAGACTAAGAACTAGGAAGAAGATATCCCCTCCTCCCCCAACTGAACAAATGCTATATGAAGGAGAACACTTTAAAGCAGGTTTTTGTAATGGCATCAAGAGTACTAGATAAGTTCAGGGAAGAGAAGTAGAGAAGTGATTGTAACTTAAATACAGACTCCTTGACTTTGTCCAGTTGATTGGTTTGAGTGAAGGGGCCCATGTAGCTAATCCTGTCTATAGATCTGAAATATAAGAGTTCTCTGATATAATAATAATTTAAATATTCCAGTGGTTGGACTGAGTTCATCAGTAGGGAGGAGGGAAATTCTAGCACAAAGAACGTTTCTTTGAGGAAGTTCAGTGTTGAGCATTTGGTATGTCCTTACCAAATACTATATTGCCCTGCTATGAAATCTGTTGAGAACTGTCATAATAAGGGGTGAGTAAAATGTCTGGGCCCAGGTTCTGGGCTGCAGCTTGTGTATTATGGACTGAGCATGTTAGACACAGTGTCTGTTTCTCTGACAGGATTAACTATGAGGAGAGCATGATGGTGCGTTTAAGTGTCAGTAAGCGAGAGAAAGGACGACGAAAACGCGCAAATGTCATGAGCTCACAACTTCATTCTCTCACGCACTTCAGTGACATCAGTGCTTTGACAGGAGAAACCCCTCATCTTGATGAGGTGAGGTTGTGATACAGGGGTGGGAGGTGGTCTTCATGCTTTCAGCCAAATGCATGTGGGGCTCATTGCTATGGGAAACTGGGGAAGAGATACCAGCACCTGCACTGCCATTCCTTTACTTCTCCATCTGTCTCCAGGATCAGAATCCTATTAAGAAGCGGAAGAAGATACCCAAGAAAGGTCGGAAGAAAAAAGGTCAGTAAATGGCTAGGAGTTAGGTGATCAAGTGCAGGGTGGAGAGTATGAATTGGGATGTCAGCTTTGAATTTGCCATCCTAGGTCTTACTAAGCCCTATAATACCTCTTCCATGCTGGGCATTAATCTCTTTAGAGGTGGGATTTTATTTTTCTTCTTTCCCAAGCTGAAAATCAGCATAATTCACAGAAGAGATTTCTGGATTGTTCCTCTAAGCTCCCACACCTTTTCAGGCGTCCTTAAATAAAACTACTAAAGTGTCACTTGAAGAAACCATTATCCCACTTCAATTTCTTCCTACTTCTAGTCTTTTGTCCTGGGAGGATATAGAGTAGTGCCTAGTGGCCTTCTCTTTAGATGTCTTTTTGTTCTGTTCCTCCAGCTTTTCCAACTGTCCTTTGCCTCATTCTTGATTTCCCTTCCTTTCAGGTTTTCGGAGGCGGCGGTGATTGTGGGTGTACATACTTATATATATTTTTTGTCATCCTGAGATACTTCCAGTTTCACTGTATGTAGGTCCCTTTCCTCGGAATTTATTGTTTGCTCTGGACATGTGGAAATCTGTTAATAAAACTGATTTTACTTATGAATTGAAGCCCCTATTGCACATGTATGACTCATTTGCTGGGTGTGGGATATTTTAGGTGAGAGGGCAATAAAAGGGAAAGATGAGGTTTTGGGGGGAGTGGGAGAAGTTTGGCTCTATATAGGTGTTTTTTAATAGAAACTAGAAATTGGTTAATTAACAAAATAAATAAATGAGCTCTGGCCAATGTTGCTCAGTGCTTAGAATGTTGGCCCGTGCACCACAGAGTCGTGGGTTTGATTCCCAGTCAAGTACCTGGGTTGCAGGTTCGATCCTCGGCCCGTCAGGGCTTGTATAGGAGGCAACCAATTGATGTCTCTCTCCTACATAATAATTTTTTCTCTCTCTCATTCTCTTCCCCCAACCTCCCTCCCTCCCTTCCACTCTTTTTAAAAAGCAATGGAGCCCTAGCTGGTTTGGCTCAGTGGATAGAGTATCAGCCGGCGGACCAAAGGGTCCCGGGGTCAGTTCTGGTCTAGGGCACGTACCTTGGTTACAGGCTTCTCCCAAGCCGGGGCCCTGGTCGAGGGTGTGCAGGAGGCAACCAATCGATTTGTTTGATTTGTTTCTCTCACATCGATGTTTCTTTCCCTCTCTCTTCCATTCTCTAAAAGATCAGTAGAAAAATATCTTCAGGTGAGGATTAATTTTTTTTAAAGGCAGTGGAAAAAATATCCTCCAGTGAGGATTAAACAAAAATTTTTAAAAGTTGAGAGATTAGAGTATTATACTCAACTTTTCAACTCATGTTTTCCCAAGTTTCTGTAATACATGAATTTTAAGTTTTTTTTTTAATGTATTTTGCTGGCCACCAGGTGGCATTAGTGGTTCAGAAAACCTTTTGATGCTTGACTAATCAAAAGCAAGATAGAACTTCCTCATCAGTGAGTTATTCTTGTCTCCATTTCTCTAGATGTTTTTCTTTTCTTTCTAAAATAGCATGAACACAGGGCTAACCTTAGCTCAGTTATTGAGTTTATCTGGAGAGAACAGTGAATGAGAAGACTAGAGTATGAAGAATCTGTATAGTCTTGTGTTTTTCAGCCTCTTTGACCCTCCTTCAACTAAGGCAGTGATGGCGAACCTTTTGAGCTCGGCGTGTCCGCATTTTGAAAACCCTAACTTAACTCTGGTGCCGTGTCACATATAGAAATTTTTTGATATTTGCAACCATAGTAAAACAAAGACTTATATTTTTGATATTTTATATATTTAAATGCCATTTAACAAAGAAAAATCAACCAGAAAAATGAGTTCGTGTATCACCTCTGACACGCGTGTCATAGGTTCGCCATCACTGAACTAAGGCCTCAGTTTACTAGTCAGTAAAGGCCAGTCCTTTTACAAAGAGCTTGCAAAAGAATGGCAGCAAGCAGGCAGAAAGAAAGTTCCTAGCTTAAAGACCAAAGAAATGAAAATCTCACAGAAATACCTGCCCAATTCAGGTGGGAGTTACATATCTGAGATCTATTCTTTTCAGAGAATGACCTGTTAGTGAGAGATCCCTCAGGGCTTGGATGATAAAGTGAAAAGAGGAATGGAAAGAGAGAAGTTGAGGAGTCTGTAGAGTTACTTCATTGTAGTTTAAGAGCATGGGGTCTCATGAACATCCAGTTTTCAAGTCTGGCATTCCTGGGCAGTGTCATGAAGAGGGATGTAATTTGGGTCATTGATTCCTATGAATTGGGATCTCTACTGGTCTGATTGGGGCGGGGGCCTGTTTTCAGTCAGCAGCACCCTGGTAGAAAGTAGTTAGGAGACAGCCTAGTAATGTTTTCTGTTAACTCTGATCTTGGGTTAATCACTTAACATCTCTGGTCTTTAATTTTCCTCAGCTGAAAAATGAATGTGTTAGATAATCTCTGAGATTCCCTCCAAACCAAAGAGCCTAGAGCTGTTTCTCATGGATGACACCAAGATGCTCGCTCTTCTGGGGACTCTAGCTTTTAGTCCCTGGTAGATCTGAGAGAACCTGACACACCCAGGGCCCTCATACTTCTATTTCTTTGAGTGAATCTAAGCAAAGAGGCACAAGAACAGATTTAGAGATTCTTTTTCCAACTCGACAAGAGGTTCAGTTAAAATATGCTTCAGGACTATTGCATTTGCTTCTGATTTATTAAAATTTTGGATTATGGGAACTGCCAACGGAAAGGAAGTGTTTTTTGCTTTTTTTAAAAAAAGATCTTTCTTTGTGTTATATCCTGAGCTAAGTGCTTTACACTAATGCTTACAAAATATGTCATCTTTATATTACTAGTGAGGAAACTGAGACACTTAGGTTATTTGCCCAAGGTTACCGGGCTAATGAGTTAGAGGAACAGTGCTGAGGAACATGGAGGATGGAGGACTTCAAGTGTCCTATGATTTATGAAAGTCTTCAGAATTTTTGTTTTTTTTTCCTTTTTTTAAAAAAATATTGGTAGGTAGTTTATAACCTCAACCTCCCCCCGTCCCTGCTGCTCATTGCCATTCCAGGCTTTACTTTCAAGGAAACCACAAGTTCCAAACATTGTTCTGGCCTCTTGGTGGTATAGCAGTGAACTGAACAGACAAAAGTCCCTCTTTTCCCAAGATTTCTGAGGAGCTCCCATGTTTCTTTAGAACTCCATAGAATGTAGTTTGAAAACCACTGTAGTAGAGCAAGGAAACCAAGACTTAGGATTTGAGGTTTTCTTTATGGCCATTGTTTTTCTTCTCATTCCTACTCATAAATTCAGTTCTCTGATCATTCAGACCACATGACTGTCAGGTTCCCTCTGTACTAACAACAGATGATTCATTTCTAATGCTTACTAAATAATGTCCATCATTAATGCACATGAGCACTGTTCGGTTTTATCATGTGATGGTAAAGAGTGTTGGCTTTGTTCTGGACAAGTAATTTAACACCTCTGCTTTAGTATTTACATCTTGAGGGGGTGGGGAAGAGGGTTTGACCGAGACCTCTTTTTGCCTCTGAAGCTTTTGTTATGGCTTTATGAAGGCTTGGAGAAATGTCTGTCAGGAGTTCATGTAGTCTTCATGGATACCTTACTAGAAAAATACTTTTTGTCTGTAAGGACAGGGTGACGTGATTAAGTCCGTTTTCAGCACCATGGAGAGTTTAAACGCATTCCTTGTTATGGGTTGGTGGAATGTGCAATCCCTAGAGCTGGGTGTGTAGACCTGCCCTTTTGCAGAGCTCAGTTTATCTGCCCAGTCTCTGGTTCTGATTGGTACAGATTGAGTGAGAGTCAGCAGCAGTCCTGAGTGTCCGCATCCTCCCTGGGATCTGTAAGGTGTGTAAACTTCAGATTCATGTTTAGACTTATCCAAGGATTTGGTCAACTTAACAGAGGCATATGAATGGAATCCTGCCTTCTGCTCTATTGATAATATCATTCATATAATGATGCACAAGGTTTTTTAACAGTCCTTGAGAAAAACTGTCTCCTGTTCTTTTTTGCTTATAGACCCTTTAGAAGACTTAGAGTTGCTTTTTCATTCCTTGGGCTCAGCCTCTTTTTCTGCCTCTGCATGGAGAAAGGCATCATTGCGCTGGCTCTCTGCCCAGTCTTGCTTTTGTATTTCTTTGATCTCATTGTTCAGAGGGTCTCAGAGAAACCCCAAGAGCCATGCCTTTGCATGTTTAAGCTATTGATGCTTTTGAAATAACAGAGCGTCGCTGTGTAAGAAGTGTATTAAAGGTCTATCTTGAACAAATTTGGGTCAATAGGTGGCAGTAGTCACCTAGTCCCGAGGCCCTGACACCCCCTGAACACAAGCACATTTGATGGCCATTATATTTAAGGTTGTGGGAAAGGAGGTCACATTGCAATGAAAATGAGGGAAAAGCAATCCTTTTTGTTGGAATCCAGAATGCTGAAATGTACTGGATTACTTGTGAGGGTGTTGGAGGGGGGAGATTGCTGTCAGCTGTGAAGGGCATGGTAGGAAAGAGCAGGGCCTCAGGATGGGGGGAGTGCCATGTGGGTAGAAGGGCTTCTGAGAGCTAGAGTAAGACTGTTAAATGAGGACCAGTGCTAAAAGAATAGAGGCTAAGGTTGGGGGAGTAGAGAGATGGAGAGAAGTGGAGGAGGGAGAGGCAGAGCTGTGTGAAGGGACCCTGGAAAGGGTGGGCTGTGGTGGGGAGGACTGCAGTTAAAGGGGGAGGGGGAGGCTGCTGCAATACTGAGCCTGTCTGATGGGGGAGGGGAGGAGGAGATACTGGTCTGTGCTGCAGCTGCATTGGCTCCCCTCCCCCACACTTTCCAAGGAGCCAGAGCAATGCTGGCAAATCTGTCTTTATGTATTTATTATTATTAAAAATGTGAAGGATCCTTCCTCCCTGGAAGCACAACAAATATCACTGATCACATTTCTCTCTCCCCTCCCTCTGCAGAGCTTTTGCATTTTTTCATTCTTTCCACCCTACCCCTCCCACCCTCAGGTCTGTTTGACTGGTGGGGGGACCCTTCCCTTTCCTTCTCTGAGCTTGGTGGCTCCCTGGGGGTTTCTAATGATGGTTGAGAGTTGCAAGGCAGTGCTGGGAGGAAGCAGCTGAATGAGGGGCATCCATTGCTCCAGGAAGAGAGCTGTACTCCAACATCCAGTGGGGAAAGGAAATCACTTGGAAATAAAGATGAAGTCCTTTCTCCAGCTAATGAAAGAAGAAGCAGGTGCACACATTTCTCTCTGAACCTAGCATTGCTCCCTTTTCAAATCCTTTTCCTTTCTACTGCCTGAATTTTGAGGGGGAAACCCCTTTGCAATGGAAAAAGCCAGGAGTTCTCTGTCCTCCCTCCTTTACCTTGTTAAGTCCCTCTCCTCCCAGGAGAGCCATATATAATTTATTCTTCTAGCTTGTGTGTTGTGTTACTGAGAGGTTTGAAGGGCAGAAGCCATGGCTTCTCCCTTCCCACCTACACCCCAGACCCTCGTGCCCAGGTGGGGGCCTCTTTTGTTGCTGCTTGTAACCCTTTCACCACGCCCATAGGTGGTGCTGCTGTTGCTCTGCATGCAGGGTC